GGCGTTGATAAAAGGTAATACATTTTTGTTCTACTCTTAAGTGACTTGCCCAGAGCTTGAAATTACTTAATAAAAATATTTTAATCACCCATTTTTTTTCTCAAGACTATCATTTCCTAGGGATTCTTTTTTATGCAGATTTACCCCTTTACTCCTGCAGCTGCCTGTCTCTGTGCAGCAGACATATTTAGATATGCTGATGTGCAGATTTATTTAGATGTGCTTATGTTTCCGACTTGGCTAGAATAATGTAATTTTTCTTGCTGATCGCTGTCAACTTGACTTTTTTCCCCCTGTTTTTAGTAAATCTGTCGCACTGGATCATAGCAGACCTCTGTTTATACCAGCAGGCCTGGATTCCCTGCACCAAATAGGTTAGAACATTTCCTGTTCACTGTGCTTGTATCTTAAAATTGGTTATGAAAATTAGAAAAAAAAAAAAAGGACAGATAAAAGATAAATTGATATTTTAGCACATGATTTTACTGATGCTTCAGCATCAGTTTTAACTGATCTTTGAAGCAAATGATTTAGTTTAAAATGGAGATTCAGTATTTATAGTAGTGAGAATATCCTCTGCAGTATTGTTAGGCAGTTTAATAAAGTGTCAGTACTGCTTAAAACAGCAAGACAGGGCCAAGCTTAGATACTAAAATATAATATGCAATAGTAACACAACCTCTTTCATGATCAAGCTTTTTTCAAGGCTTGTAGTAGTTTGCCATTGATGAAGATAAAATATTAAATTAGATGGATCGTTGCTCAAAATGATTCGATAATTCGTATTGTTATGACAATATCCTTGTATTACTCTGTGCTCTGCTGTAATCCTTAGGACCACCACCTGCCTCTGAAAGTGACCTTGGAAAACTGCATGCAAACACACCTCTGGAACTGTGGAAAAAAGTATTTGAGAAAACATTTCCTCCCAAGGTACGCACTTAAGTGTTTGATGCACCACTTCTTTCTTAGAACTCAGAATTTTTGTCCTTCAAGTCCAGTGTCTGGGATTTCAGTCGCTTGAAAAACCAATTAGCAGTTCTGTTTCTTCCAACCTCTTTAATTCATAAGTTTAAAAATAACGGTTTTTATGTTGTGATGCTTTGGTTTTTACTTTCTAAATCTCAGTTACGTTCCTACATCTAGAAACAAGAAAAGTATCAATTACTTTTCTGAAGTAATCCTATTGCCTTTCATGATACTGAGGGAAAACCTATACTCAACTTATTTTGGAACTTTATAAGGTGACGTGCCGTAATGCCTATGCCAGGTGCCAATGATGCTCTTTTCTGCTGCAGCAAGTTCCTTATTCTCCTAGGGTATGAGGCTTTGAATCAGGCTAGTGTGCTGGACTTCCTTGCCATAGTCTGTAATTTTTCTACGAGAAGTGTTTGGATTAGCAAGGGAATGAGTATCTCTCACCACCTCCAAAGTGACCGATCTTGCATGTGCTTCAGAAATTTCTGGTTCCAAGAGGCAAAAACCCAAATATTCCTTTTGTGTAAAAGTAATTGCTGTTGGTAGTAGATCAAAATTCTGTTATCTTTGACTTGAACACATGCAACTGGCATTTTTTCCTTTTATACTGGACTACCTCCGTTCTTTATTCATGTCCATTTCCTGCCAACACCTTGTCTGGGCCAGCAAAAAAATGAGTTAGGGCTATGAGACTGTGGCTTGTGTTACATTGCACAAACTTTGCTTTTCTGAGTTTTCAGTCAATGGATCTTCAGCTTCTTATATGGGATTTCAGTGCACCTTTTCCTATGCCCTTGCTTGTTAAATATTAAAGCCACTTTATTTTAAGTGATTTTTGACAAGAATTTATTAATCATCACCAATAAGCTGTGTGCAGTACAGCATGCCTTAAGACGACAAAGCCTCTAGTAGGAGAAACACTTGACTGTGTCCGAATACCACAAGCTGGAAAAAGTATTTTCTTTTTGAGGAGAGAAGCTGCTAACAAGCAACCACCAAATAAGAATATTTTCTTTCCTTTAAGCTCTAATTGCTTTCTTACTTTCTCATTGTTTTACCAATTCAAGATAATAAATCGTATTTTTTATTTAATCTGTGTTCAATAATAAAAACTCTTCCGTAATTGCAAGATTAAAATATTTTTGTATTATAAGCAAAAAGCTTCCTTTAGACTCTACCACGTGGTATCATCTTATTAAATGAATAGCAACCTAAATATATGATTTCTGTGTTTTCATTTTTATTTTAGAGTTCCTCTGATTTACAATATACCAAGGACCCTGCACAGGATTTACAATATGCCGAGTATGAAGTTGATGTCATGAGAGCCCAGAAAAATGAGGTATGTAGTTGTTCAGTCTGTTATTCCAGAACCACTACCATTGCTGCAGTAATTGTAGGATATAACCATAGCACCCTTTTTGCCTTTAGGTAACTTACATTCAAGAATTTTATCCAACTTTCTTTGTTTTCTGATCGCTGAAGATGTAGCGGGAGGAATATTGTTAGACATGAAAGTTTTGGTTCTGTGGTTTCTGTAGAAATTAAGGGTTTGAATTTTCCCTCTATCTCTCTTCAAGGATTATTTCACTACAATAATCTCATCGTCCATATTGAAGCCGAGCTGAGAGTGTTTCTTCATAGAAGTTTATCTTCATATCTACCTTGTATTTATTTGGGAATTGGTTAGCAGTAAGTCTAGGGAATAGTATGAAGGGCAGTATGATCTAAGGAATAATATCAAGATTTGGAGTGGGAATGTTTATAGCCTCCCTGCCCCCTCAATTTTTGTTTAAATTGGAGTTTAGGAATGTTATGAGATTATAATCCTGCTGACTGAAGTTCGTGGTTTGTGGACATTTTATTTTAAAAATACAGAGAATAAAATTAATGTACACAGTGGTGTTTGCCTTAACCCCCGATTTCCAGGATATACCTTTAGAGGAAAAAGGATCACTTATTTTTTTTGTATTCATTTTACAGTGCTTCTGAATTTCCCAAAATATTTGTGATGCGCTAACTTTATAGAAAAATTCCCTGGAGAACTAGATTGAGGCTAGAACATATTCATAATGTAGAAGAAGAAAGCAATTGCAAGAATCTCTCGCGGCCCTTGAACTTGTTTAGCGCCTGTAATATCCTGTTAATGTAGTCATCATTTTTTAAATGTCTGTTATATCAAGTGCAGTATTAAAATCATTAAAGTGCTCCCTTTTATAAAGCACATCATTGATTATGGAATTTATAATGTAACCTCATATTCAGTATACCTGTTTGTTATTATTTGATAATATTTACATTTTGTGAAACAAGATACTGGTGTTAAGTAAATCACATGGAGAATTGTTAATTTTCTGTTTTTAAACAAAAGAGACAGGCTCTTAGAACACTAATCTGCTCAAGGAAAACCAGTGTAGCATCTTTTAGTTGGGCCTGTCACAAGCAATCTGGGCTTTAAAGAGAAAATTACTTTTGTTATCTGCCACTATTTTCTGAAGTTCACTATCTTGAAGTTCAATTACTACACAATATCTGCATATTCTTAAAATGTTTTATACTCTTAGAATTTCATTCCATTTGGAATGCACTAAGAAAACTACTCATCTGCAAGAAAAGAATTGTGTAGCTGTAGTGGTTCTTGAAGTGTCTTTGCTTTTCCCATAATTATGTGAAAAGGTACAGAACTACTATTTTAAGAGCAAAATTTTAAGTGTATCATGAGTGTAATTTTCTTTTTATTCACGCATGTTCTCTGTTGTTTAGCAGGAAGACTATATTAAAATGTTTAATATGCAACGTTGCTAAAGAAATCATGAGACATAATGCAAAGTGAAATTACATATAATGATGGTGCATATTCCAAGATCATTTAAGTGCATGTTATTGCTCCCTCAGTTACTTCCATTTAATTAATATGCCACGTTGGACTCTGTGATAGCCAGTTTGCGCATTTATCTTAAAGATAAGCTTTGAAGGAAATAAAAGTACAAAGTCATAGCAGTAGGACGCAAAACATAGCTTCCTGTCAGTATGTTTGATACTAGTGCTAGAATACTGTAAAAATGTATAGATGACAGACAATACAAAGTTTCATAAAAATAGGGCTGTTTCTCTCTTGCTTCCCTCTTTTGCAGAGCCTTCCAGTGTTCTGGCATTTGGTATAGCCAGTTGCAGATTGGGTCCTTGTATTTTGGATAATATATCTTTATTTCCAGGGACTTCCAAGTTTGTATACTTGTTTGAAGGGTTTGCCTGCAGCCATCATTTTTAGAGAAATAATATGTCTGTTAAGGGTTAGCAAAGATTGTTTGTAACATAAAATCAGCTTGGAGAAGGAAGCACTTCATCAAAATAAAAGGTTAAATTCTTGACTATAAAATTAGAGAATAGCCAAAAAAAGAGAAGTACAGGAAAAAAAATAGCTAGCATAGTCTCATGTACAAGTTGTTAGGATCTATTCTAGAGACTTATCCAGATATGTTCTGGGTGTGGAAGTTCAGGTGCAGTTCATCGGCACTCTGCCATGAGAGTGCTGTCTTTTACATCACATTATTTTGCCTCTTCAGTATGTTCAAACTCCGAGACTACCACCCTATTCCCAGACGTTTTTGTTGTTGCTGTTCTGGAAAACTCCCTGGGGTTACCATTTCTTCACTGTACCTTTGTTCGAGGTAGAGCACCTATTTGTTGGTCAACCGTGTCATTTCAGAATCCTTTTTTAGTTCTTATCCACCAAATCTACAACTTGCAGGTTTATATCAGTTATTACTGTTGAAATTGTTTGCTGCCTTTTGGTTCTCTAAAGTCATTCTCTCATACAGCACCTCAGATCTTTATGGAAAATGCATTTTTAGTGTGTTTTAACTAGCACATTGTCTTTTAGAGCTGCACATGTACCACCTGCGTCCAGGAACACCTATGAGTGCATGAAAGTCTGTTCTTCTCTTAGTTCCTTCTAAATGTTTCTGGCAGCGAAATGGCACATCCTGCCTGTCTGCTCTGTTTCCTTTAGAAAACGCTCTGTACCACAGATGTAAGCACTTCAGCTGTCTTTTGAAGTGTCTTTTTCAGGTCTTAGCTATCTTACTGTCTTCTACTACTAACTATTGGTCAAAATAGGTGCCTGAACCTTTTTCTTTTAGACATTTGACTGTAACAGTATCATTGCATTCACTGGAGCAACAAAAGCTTAAAGAATTAGATAACCTGTCCCAATCAGGGTGGTTCCTGGTAGTGATTAGGCGAGGGAGGGGGCAGATAAAGGCTTTGTAGAGAGGTGGGTGGAGACAGAATTATAGGGATGTACTCTGAGACCTGGATCTGAATGCGGAGGACTTATCTCTGCTGATAATAAATATGGTAGTACCCAGTGGAAGAGTCTGTGTCCCATGGCTGAATGATTGATTTGGCCTTTTATTACAGCTGGTTGAAATCAGCTCTCAGAGATCTTATGCCACAGTTTGAGAGCCAATTCTCTAAGTGAATAAAAAGAAAGTTAGTCGTGATGTCACTCCATAGGGACTGAAGAAATGCAACAATTAAGGCTTTTTCTGCAATCTTAATTTTTCCTCCTTGTTTGTAGATATTGTCTTTAATTACATGATCATATACTATTTTCCTGATGTCTCATTCAGTTGTTCAATATTTCTTTTCATCATCTTTATTCTTTGTGTACCGTATTTCTCAACCTGCCATTCAGACACTTCAGTGAACACAAAAGTATTAATTTTTTTTTCCCTGGGAATGTGCAGTAATGTTATCTTATCTGAGTGCCTCACAAACATCAGTTAAGTCTTCCTTCCCAGCGCCTTTATAAGATTAGGTGTGATCTTCCCCATTTGACAGATGAAGAATTTACAGAAACACTGAAATACAGAAGCGTTACGGTTAAAAAAAAAAAAAAAAAAAAACCCTGCATACTTTACGCCAGAAGAGACATAGAGACATAGAGATGTCCTAGAGACATCTAGGACATCTAGGATTTGAGCTGCTAGCATGCTAATAATATTGAAAGCACTCGAGGACCATTTAAATCATCATGTTTAAATTGCAGTTTCTCTAGATCTGATCTCAGTTGCCTACAGTGGGCACCCAGAAAGCACAGGCAGTGCTGGCTGCTGTGCGGGGGTTTGCGTGTTTGGCTGTGTTCTCTTAGCAGAGTGTGCAGTTACAGGGTAACGCAGGATTCGGGGTCACCTTCATAGCAGGGTGCCTCGGAACCGAGCAAGTGATTTTGTTGTTGTTGTTATTTCCCAAAAAGGTCTTTGAGGTAACATGGAAATATTTGGTCTTGTTTTGTTTTTGCCACTACATTTCTGCCTTACAGGGATTTATTTTAGTTTTACAGCAAAACTAAAGAAATATACCTTCCTGATAATACTTGCCTCCCCTTGGGAATCACAGAATTTGTTAAAGATAGTATTTGTAGAGATTTCTTCCCGTTTCATCCCCATCCTCTTTTTTCCTTTCATTTAGTATTAAACACAGCCTTACTCTGATATGGCTTCAGAATACTATTTCTCATTTTGTTCAGAACTTTCATGTCTAGTTGGAATAATTCTAATATATGTTATATTTTTGATACTTTGGAGTTTTGCATTGTTTTGGGCTGCCTTTATGTTGACTAACCTTCCAGCTACCTAAAGTCACAGTAAAAAAAAAAATGCTAAATTATCTTCCTTCTTCTCAAGAGAAGGCTAGTATTTTACACATAGGCATGACCCACAGCATTGTCTTTATATATAAAACTGCATTGTCTAGTTTCAGCTCTTTTAAAAAATATATTAGAATGGAAATTATTAACTTAGCATAAATCAGAATACATGTGCTTCTTCAGACACTGCAATATGCTTTCTATTCCTAACTGTTGGCAAGTTTCCAAGAGTTCAGTATGTTCCAAAATCATAATTTATATGAATAATAAGGGAGTAAAAATACTAAGTAAAGACTACCTTGCAGATGGAAGCGTTCAGCACTACTAGAGTTGTGATTAATAATGCAACTTATTAGCTTTAGATTGGACGCAATATGTTCTGTATTAGTCGACTGAGCATCACTTAACCGTACAACTAGCGTCATGAAGAATACGCACTAACCAAAAATCCTCTTACTGCTTTTGGCCTGTGGTGCTTGTTGGACGAATAAATAAAACAGAGCTTCTCTGGAGTTTGTCATTGTCACAGAGAATGGGCACAGACTAGAAAGTCTGAAACAATAGGATCAGCAGGGGCATTAACAGTTTGTTTGTTGATAGCATATTCTTCTCAAAGTATATTTTTACATATATGGATGTGTGTGTGTATGTGTGTGTCTCCAGGACAGATTCCACAGCTTCTAAATATTCATTTTATTTATTTTTACAAATTTTGCTTTTTGTCAAATGGTATACATGTTTGTGTATGTGTGTATATACACACACAGATATATATTATTATTTCATATACACACACACACATTTATATCATAAGATAGAGTGAATTCCATGTATTATTTTCATATATCATATGTATTAGATGCTTTTTTTGTTGCCCTGTCCTAATTTTCTTCTGCTCTGGATTGATACTGCTATTAAATTCTCCAGGTAGAGATTTTAGGTTGTTTTTGCACTTCCAGTATTTTATATATTCCAGTCAAACATCCATTAGTTTATTTAGTCCCTCAAAATAACAATGATATGCAAAGCATTCCTACTTTCCAGTGGCTATACTGCCTTTGTACTAGTCCTCATGCACCACTTTCTTTATTATTTTTTTCTCTGACATTTCTTCATCATTCCTAGCAACTTCATTAGCTGCACAACTCCAATTACAGATACAAAATTATGATTCCTGAAGGGTAGCTTTGCTTTTTTTCGCAGAGTATTTTAATACATTTTTTGTCATTCTGTTTTGTTTTAGAATTAGTTTTCAAAAGGGTAAATAGCCTCCACCTTTTTAAGTTTTCTTTCTTCAAGCATATCAAGGAGAAGAATTCTTATTGAATTTTTTAAAACTTTTTATTATATATAATGCAGAAATAAGTATAACTAGTAAATCATAGGAGCACTGCATCAAAAGTATCTGTAGAACTAATTGAACTTGATGGAAATTTCCAATAAGATTAGTTTCCACTGTGTTGTAGTTAATAGATAGCTAATAATGCTACAAGTAAGATACAACTCTTTTTTACCTTGCAGATAGTCTTTGATTAGGGCTAACAGTTACCTCATTATT